GCCATTTTATTGTTCATATATTCTTTTTTTCTTCTTAAAGAAGATGCTTTAATATTTTAATATTAAATATATGGTTTGGTGGTGATGAACTCCTTTAGCTTTTCTTGTCTGGGAAGCTCTTTATCTTAACTTCAATTCTAAGTGATAGCTCTGCTAGGTAGAGTAATTTTGGTTGTAGGTCCTTGCTTTTCATCACTTTGAATATTTCTTGCCACCCTTCTGGCTTGCAAAGTTTCTGTTGAGAAATCAGCTGACAAGAAGTAATTGAGTGTGAGAACTGGTTAGCCACACAGTAAGGCTCACTATTTATGGGAAGGTGGTAGAGTCAGAGCTGGGTGAAAATTTTATTATCCTAACATTTTATTTTTTTTAACTCCCCATTTGACTCTTAAAAGAAAAACTACCAATGCAATTTGTTTTCTGTAAATAAAAATATACCCATGGAAATTCCTGTAGTGATCCACACTGGGAGCAGTGTTTCCAAACACATTGTAGAATGAAGTCACTCAAATCGCTTCGGCTTTAAGCATACAAGGCATTTAGGCCAAGACTGGTCCTGCTATTTTTGTTTATTTTCTAGAAGTGAAATGCTTAGCCTTTTAAAGCTGTTTTTGTAAAGAAGCCAATAGAATGGGCATAGCTAACGTCTCCTCCTTGTAATGACATAATGGTGCTCATGTGCTTTCCTCCTCTCTCCACCGCTTTTTATCCTTTTTATAGATGCACATCGGGAATTCCTTCACAGGCCTGCTTCTGGATATGTGCCAGAGGAGATCTGGAAGAAAGCTGGTAAGAATTGTTTAAAAACACGAGTCTAGTGTTCTGGCAGCTGTGTGCAGTTGTTAAATGCAGCGATGTGAAGAATGACAAGAAAGGACTTTACTGCTAACAACCACCACCACCACAAAACCATGCAAAGCACCCCCCAACAAAACAAAATGTAAAAATCCTGATTAATATCCTAAAACGAGGCCTGATTGGAGCCTGCGATAGTTTTGGTTTTAGTAGCATTTGCTAGGGGCGCTGTAATTGAGAGGCTGGCCATATTTTCATTATAAACCCCTGTTTTTCAGGGACTAACATGGTTTCATGTCATGCAATGTTTTCTTCATGAAAAAAACCCTGGTGTTTTATAATTTAAAGTGCGTACTTTTAGGCCTTTCCTGTGAATTTTTAAATTTTAATGAAGACCACATCAAAACTAACAGACTTGTGGAGACACTCAGAAATGTTACTTACGATTATAACCAATTTTTAAAGTTGATCTTCTGAGCTATTAATAATAATCAGTAATCACAGCTAAATATTTTTTAAGTTAAATGACAGAGTTGCTAAACTCGTACCATTTTTCTTTTCTCTTTGATTTTCCTTAAGAGATACTGCCCTACACTTGGCATGAGATTTAAAGTTCCTACTGATTCATTGACGTATTGGGCTTAACCCAGCTCAGATCTGGCAGAATCATGGTGGAACACCAACACTATAGAAGTTGAGCAAAAATCTTAGAGACCAACTCAGGAGATAAAGCATCAGCCTGTTTCAAGAGTTAAAGATGACAGGACAAATACGTAGTGTGGCTTGGAGCTGCTATGACTCCAAATGTTAAAATAGCTTTTCTGAGCTGAGAAACTGAAAACTGTTATTTCTGCAAGCGGCCAGGTGAGTGTAGGGCTAGGAACCCTAACTAGGGAGCAAGAGGCAAGGGAAAGGGTTTCCTGTTTTGTTTTGTTTTTTATAAAAGTTTCCTCTTTCAGTTTTTATTTGACTCAGATGTGTGTGCAGTTCTGTACAACTTTCTGACTTTTTTCCCTTGGCTCTTAGCCAAGTGCTTTTTATAGATTTTTCTAAGAAATAACCTGTTTTTTGTTTTTTTTTCAGAGCAATAAGGAGTTTAAAATCCGATAGTATTCTAGGCTTAATAACTTAGATTGAAAACCAGAAAACTCTCTTGCATGTCCAATATGCAAACTAGATAGACCCATCCAGCTTAAAATTAAGGTCAGCTATATATTCTGCTCAGCTGCCTCGTCTTCCCAGCTTTACAACATCACGTCGAAGATTTTCTGTGTAAGCAATAGTGATGGGATACTCCTAAGCTGTTAAAATGTGCTGGCTGCCACCTATCTGGAAAAAGAATTGCTACATCTTTCTTCTGGCCAATTTTCTCCCCCATTTTTAAGCTGTCAGTGCAACTGATTCCAGTAAGAGGCACAAACAATTCCTATTTTGTATGGCAGAAGGATGACTTTTCAGTTGAGGAAAAGAGTTTTTGCATCTGCCTTATTTAGATTAAACCCTCGATAGTTCATAAAGAAAAATTGACAGCAAAGTCTTGTGTAATCCAAATTCCTTCAGTGCTATTATGTGCTCACTTCTTTGTTTGACTGCTCTTAAGTGAGAGCAGATTTCTCCTTCTGACTATACCATCTTTGTAGGAAAGTCAACATGAGTAGCTATGCACAAAGGAAGGCCTACCATAAGTAGTAAGCAGTTGGAAGCAGATTCAGAATTGCATTATACATACTACTGAAAATTAATTGTAGTGATAGTAGCACAACTGTGAGTAGACTAAAAATATTGAATTATAAACTTTAAATGAGTAAATTTCATAATTTGTTAATTATAAAACCACCAAGTGATTGTTTTAACAAAAAGACAATAACTGCACTATGTATTGTCCACTTAATCAGTTTTTTGGTAGACATGTTGTCATCTACTGAGTTCACTATTATGTATTGTCTGTTTTGTGGGTTTCTACAAAACCAATTCTGGGTATAATTTACATTGTGAAGACTTAAAGTGTAGAGGAAGATGAACACCCGTGTCTATTGTGCCTGTGCCTGCTCTAAGAAGAGTTAAACGTTATTAAGTAAACGTTTGGGGTATTTTTTAGATATGCCTATTGTGTATATTAGGTCTTCAGTCTAATATGGTCTCTCTAATATGCATAGGAATCATTCACAAATAGTTTCTATGGATTGATGCTAAATGTTAAGGAGTGTATTCAGTTCCCAAAGTATAGATGACAGTTGGTCTTGAAATCTCGAATAACTGCTTATAATTTTTATCTCCATAGGCATCTTAAAAAGGTGTCTAGTGTTAGGAGTGTCACGGCATCCCTCGTAATGAAAACACAGACGTGGCATCTGCGCTCAGCTTGTCACAATTTGAAAGCTTTCTCCAGGATTCTGAAATGTGCTGTGGGCAAATTACTTTTGTTTGTTTTTTAGAGAAAAGCCTATAAAGTGTGTCTTTGCAATGAATACAGTATACGTTACATTTGTGACAGTTGATAAGAAATAAAATAAAGTTGAAAGCATTTGAAAAATATCCAGGGTGGAGCTCTCAAAAGTCAATGTAGTGTAACCACAATGTAGTGTAACAAAAATAGTGGAAGTATAACCACATCCACATATTCCTGAGTCCCTTTTCACAGGAAATTGTAGTTGCAAAAAGCGTATCTTGTACTTAAAAGCACATCATGCAATAGCTCCCACCATTTTATTTTGAAACGATATCAAACGTGCAGAGTTCTAAGAATTATTAAAAAGTTCTCTTAAACCTTTCACCCGGTTTTCCCTATTTTACTGTATTTGCTTTAATATATTTTCTCTCTCTATTCCTCTCTTTCCTCCCTTCCTTTTTCTGTTATGCATTCTATTATCCACCCCCACTCCCCCCCGCCCCCAAACATTTGAAAGTAACTTGCAGGTGTAATTTTCCCAATATGTTAATTTCCTAACAGGACAGTCTCTTATGTAACCACAATATGGTTACCAAACTGAGAACAGGCCATTGTTACATCACTATTATTTAATCAACAGACTTTATTCAAAATTTTCATGTTGCTCAATAATACTGTATAATATAGCTATACATTTTAACGTATTGGAATGTTAACAAATGCTGAAGGTCCCATCAATTTTCCCCTCAAGTAGTATTTTTAAAAGCAAAGGAAACAAAACATACTCTAAAATTACAAAAGGTCTTTAATAAAATTGGAACAAATCAACATAAAGATGGTTCTTACATTGCAACTGAATGTTTTCTTTATATATATCTTTTCAACTGATCAGCGAATGTTTGCCCATTGGTAATAAATATTCAAGCACCTTGAAAATGTCCTACCAATTCTCTTTGCTGATCTGTATATGCCTGTGGGATTAGAATAGGAATGCATAATTTAAATACAAATTGCCTGATTTGCATATACAATTAGTCAAGCTACAGCTTGGATGGTAAGCAAAAATTATTGTCCTGTATTACCACTTAGATAGAATTTTAATTCGCTCTGAATATTCAAGCTAAATTAGACCCTGGCTGTATAGTTAGAAGGGCAGCACTTCCCTGGTGCCCCAAGGCATTTATGATCGTGTAATAAAGGCATTTTTTCTGTCTGTTCCTGAAGAAGGTGCTGCCAGCTCTGCCATACCGTTTCCATTCAGAGTTTAGCTGCATATCTTAAAGCAACCAATAACAGCTTAAGGTATTTCACTTAATATTTACAGCCTGGCTCTTTCCCCTTATATTTTAGTTTATAAAACCCATCAGACAGTAATTACAAATGAATGGACTTCAGGAATAATGCTGCTGACATGAGGAAGGCTACAGAAGTCATGGCAGTTAATTACCAGTGGAGGGCTCTTGATGATCCTCAAGTCACGGGCCGTAGATGTGTGAAATAAACCATAAACATTTAAGGAACCAGAGGAGTATTTGCATCGCTTACATTTTTAATCTACAGTAAAACATTTTTATTAGGAATCTATGTTTTTAATTAAACAGAACATTTAATTAAGGTGTGTTTTAAGTGGGTGAAACAATTAAGTGCAAGCACTTGAAACATGTCATAATTAGTTTTAATAGAGTGTTAATTGGTACTAGGTTTGCCAAGTTAATAATTACTGCTTATTAAATTTTCAATTAATCATTGTCATTTTGCTTTGAATAAAGATGAAAATTAGATAAACTAATTCAGAGGGAGGATATTTTCCCTTGTTAATTAGAACAGTTAATTTTTTAAATGGAAATTACTTGTTTTAGTTGTCAATCTTATGTTGTGCATTAGCCCAATCTTTGCACACTTTCCACAGCTAAAATAAAAAAGCTAACTGGACACCTTGAGGTTTGTGGGCAGGCCTGATTGTTCCGGCCTGTGATATGATTCCGTTCTGTTTGTCCAGAGCAACAGTTGGTCATGTGAAACTGTGCACTTATTGGATTAACTGGATAGACAACAGGCTAAAATTTGTAAATGAGGAAACGATTTTTGAAAATCTCTGTCATTTAGTCTATAAAGGTACATATCCCTATTACTCAGGAAATGATTTAAGAAAAAGAAAAGCTGAATCATCTGCTTTATCATCGATTTTCTTTAAAAGGTCTGCACTAACTTAATTGCTATACGAATTACCTTTTCACCATGGTGCTTTTTTTTTTTTTACCACTAAAACAGTTGTTTGCCCTTGAATATGTGTGTGTGTAAAATGTATTTCCTTTCTTCTTTCTGAAAACTTTACCCATGTAATTTTCTATGTTCGTAGTAACGTATAGCAGTGATTTTCAACTTTTTTCATTTCGTGGCACAGGTAAACTAATGACTAAATTCTGAAAAAAAAAATAGACATAATGTTGATTCATTCACACCAGTGACTACTGTGTCAGCTGTTGTCATTTTAAAAAGTTTTATTTGGCAATCTAACGGAAAAGAGGTCAGCGCCCCTGACTAAATACGTATTCATGTCTTAACAATCCTTAGGGCACACCGGTTGAAAATCGCCGGCCGATAGCGTGGTGGGAGGCCGCCTTTATGTTTGTGAATTATCTGGACAGGTTTCTCCTGGTGGTTTTGCCCTTTAAATACTTAGCCTGGTCTCACAATCCTTTCTGGAGGTACCAGTGGTGCTAGGAAAGCTGTAGTAATGATAGAAGTAGTTTACAAGATATTCCCAGCCCTAGCTGGTGTGGCTCAGTGGGTAGAGCATCGCCCTGAGGACTCAGGGGTCCATGTCCAGGCTGCCCGCTCGATCCCCAGTAGGAAGCGTGCAGGAGGCAGCCAATCCATGATTCTCTCTCATCATTGATGTTTCTCTCTCTCTTTCTCCCCCTCTCCCTTTCTGAAATCAATAAAAAGTATATTTAAAAATAAATACATTCCTAGAAATGCAAGCCCAAGTCCCCCTCTTTGCTTTCCTAAGGAATTTCAGGCATCTGCTGGGTGGGTAGGTAGCCAGAAGCGCCGCCACCCCAGCCGTGGGGCGACAGTCCCGCGGGTCCTATAGAACCCCGTTTGACAGCGCCGGCACCCTGCGCCCCGAGCTAACGGAGGACTGTTCTCTTGTCCCATGTGGCCCGCGGGCGTGCAGAGGAGGCCGTCAACGAGGTGAAGCGCCAGGCCATGACCGAGCTGCAGAAGGCCGTGTCCGAGGCCGAGCGCAAAGCCCACGACATGATCACCACCGAGCGGGCCAAGATGGAGCGCACGGTGGCCGAGGCCAAGCGGCAGGCGGCGGAGGACGCGCTGGCCGTCATCAATCAGCAGGAGGACTCCAGCGAGGTGAGGGGCGGCAGCGCCTCCGGTTTTTGTTGCTTTAAATTCTTTCTTGTTGAAAGTTACATATGTCTCCTTTTTCCCCCATTGACCTCTCCCTGCCCCCTGACCCCCGCGCTGTCTGTGTCCATTGGCTATGCGCATATGCACGGATTCAAGTCCTTGGGTTGATCTCTTACCCTCCACCTCCACCCCTCCCCGGCCTTCCCTGTGAAGTTTGTTCAATGCCTCTAAGTCTCTGGATCTATTTTTGTCCATCAGTTTGTGGTGTTCGTTATCTTCCACAAATGAGTGCGGTCATGTGATATTTATCTTTCTCCGTCTGGCTTATTTTGCTCAGCATACAGCTCTCCAGGTCCATCCATGCTGTTGCAAATGGTAAGACTTCTTTCTAGAGGGCTCAGTTGTGATCCAGGAGATCACAAATCAAAGCAGCTATTGGATTGAGACCAACACATCTTTGGGGTGAAAATTAGAATAATTTGGGGAGTTCTGGCACGTGTGGAGTTGGTGGAACGCTGATCAACTTTGGTCTTTATTAGAGACCTAAAAGAACAACTTCGCCAAAGGAAATTTTTAATATATTCGCAAGGTTCTTATAACTTCCTAGCACCATTTGGAGACTCAACACTCAGCTGTGTGTGACAGCATAGGCACGAGGCTTCCTTCTAAAGGCAGGGATTTAACAGTGATACCCTGTGTCAGCTGCTCTCCAAACACACATGACATGCCTGGGATCAAAGTCATTTCCTTAACTACTGGTCCTAAACCCAGTGCTAAAACCATGTTTGCAATAATTAAACATTTCTAAGAGATTTTCTGCACAGTCTGTTTTTCCACATTATTTCTAATAACTGTTATGAACATTTTATTGGGTGACACCACTGACAGGGGCAATGTTATTTTGTATTGTTCCAGGATATTAAAACACACACACACACACACACACACACACACACATACACACACAGCCTCAATGGCTCAAGGAGCTCTAACAGAATGCATTCTAAAATGGTCTGTAAGTAAGAGCACGTGGTGCTATTCCGCACTGATACAGCAACCAAAGTAACTGTGCATAAAGGACAATTAACTGAACTCGCACAACCATGAGCTGATAAATCGATGGTCCACCAGAGTACATATCTATAATTTGGGGGGGGAGAGTAAGAACTTGATTTGTACCAGGCCTCTCTGTAGATGAAAGACCCTGTGGGAATTGCTCGGTGCCCAGAATTTCTATTTAATGTGTAGCAGATGAATATTAAGAGGACAAAAGGAATTGATTTTCAACACTTGAAAGTTTCTCGGGAAAAGAGGGACAAAGGGAATTCTATCTACACTTCCCTTGCTGACTTTTTCATTATTAAGTTAACCGAGCACAAATTCAGTTTTATTGGCATCTGTGGCTAAGATATTTAAGGACCTTGTTTTGTGCTTAAAAAAAAAAAATCATTCACATCTTTTGGAGAGACTTTGTCCCGTTCTGTTCAAGTCAGTAATGCTGTGAGGCACAGTTGTTGGCATTATTAAAACCTTTTCACTTTCATATGACAGTTTCAGGTCTGTTGTTTAGATTGAGTATTCTGTAGTCACAAAATTCTAAAGAGAAAATGTGTGGAAAGAAATTGAGAACTAAGTCTTTGTATTCATCCTATAACATGCTCTAATTCCTTCAATGTCTATAAGCTTTTTATCTTTATTCATAAAACTTACATAGAAAATGTATGAGCTTGATCTTAGTATCCAGCATTATAAAAATACTAGAGGCCCAGTGCACAAATTCGTGCACAGGTGGGGTTCCTCAACCTGGCTGGCAACCGGCGCCCATACAGGCCGTGTCGCCCAGTCCAGGGGTAGGAACCGCAGAAGGTTGGCTGGCCGTGGGAGGTTGGCTGTGGGAGCGCACTGACCACCAGGGGGCAGCTCCTGCATTGAGCGTCTGCCCCCTGGTGGTCATTGCGTCATCCTAACAACCAGTCGACCAGTCATAATGTCATTTAGGTTTTTATATATATAGGTGGTTTATCAAACAGTAGCAATGGTAATAGTAGGTAGCATGAAAAAACCTAGGTATGAGTGATTTTCTACAGTTACTGTTTTTCTTTTGGGATCTCTTGGGAAACTGATCTTTAATATGGCACTACCCTTATCTTCAGTGACAGTTTCTCAAGGAATTTAAAGCACAGTATGCTGGGAGGAAGGGTGTGGAATTTAGAGGGCCATATTTAATTCCTGGTTCCGCCTCCCACAATTCTGTGGCTTTGAGAAAGCTACAAAGGCTCTATAAACTTTGGTCTTTCACATGATGTGAAGAGGCGTGCAACTGTCTTCTACAGTGGCTATACCTGAGACATGACAATTTTTTAGCCATAAGGGAACTCACCTGGCTAGCGTCACACAGCTAGGAGATGGCAAAATCTACGCTGGAACTTGGAGTGTGCTGTCAGTCTATACCTGTTCCACAGCAACGGAAGGAGGGTCATTTCATGAGGATCACAGCAGTAATTTGGGGGTGCAGGTACAGAAATGCAGTGCAGGTCCTGTCCCCTACTTTTCTTCTCTCTAAACTGCAAGGCCACTTTTCAAGACTTGAGCAGGATGGATCAATCTCGCCAATGATTAAGCCTCTTTTCTGCAAAAGTAATGTAGACATTTTCCTGAGAGAGGAGAGAAAGATATGGAAGAAATATTTCATTTGAATGTACCTGGGTCTCCTCTAGACTTGCACACCAGTCTACACACACACACACACACACACACACACACACACACACACTATGAAAGTGCTTTGACCAAGGATTGACAAGTAAAGGGTTAATCTATTAGCCCTAAATTAATGTCTCTAATTCTCCTAAGGTAAGACTATCCTGGAACAATCTGCATGGTTAGTGGTAGATTTAATTCAGTTGTATCTTTTGCCCAATGGTTAAGTGGAATTTTGTAGGTAAATCCTTCCCCCCGCCTCCGACTTAGGATTGTTTGCCTTTTCATTTAAGATTGAGGATACAACTTTGAATCCAACATATTTTTCTGCACCCTGTTTTGCCCTTGTACTCAGCAATGTACGCCTAGGCATAGGAACAGTGTGATAAAAGCCACCCCAGCAATGCTGCTTGCAAGTCACCTCAAGTCTAGAAAGCTCCCTGGGGCTCTCCCAGACAGAGCCAGGACAGCTCTGACTTCTCTGGGCTAGGACAGAGCTCCCCCTCCAGCCTCACCGTGGCTGGCCCAGGATGGGGAACCTGTTAGGTCAGGACTGCATGGCCCGCCTGAGCTACAGAGAAGATAGTGTAGGTACTTCTCGGGATTCTCTTCTATATTTCTATATTCAGGAGGTTTGATTGAATTTTAACTAGTCAATAAACCAGATAACACCCACATAGCTTTTACTTTAGAAATTTTATGAATTGCTCATTGTTTTCTTAGGAAAAAAAAATAAAAGGTCTAACCATCATAGTAATTGGTTGAAAACAATATTTCCATTAAATATAGGATCCATTGATTTTAAGGGGTGTGGCTCTATAACCTACTATCCAGAAACTGGATCCAGAAACGAATGGACATTCTTTTTAAAAATCATGTTTGGCTCAGTGGATAGAGTGTTGACCTGCAGACCAGAGGGTCCCGGGTTCAGTTCCAATCAAAGTCACATACCTTGGTTGCATTGGCCTGGGCCCTGGTCAGGGCTCATGCAGGAGGCAACCAATCGATGTGCTTCTCTCACATCAATGTTTCTCTGTCTCTCCCTCTCTCTTTCCACTCTCTCTAAAAATCGATGGAAAAATATCCCCTGATGAGGATTAACAACAAGAAAACAAAAAATCATGTTTGTGCCTTGCCCAGAGGAGTTTGTTACTTGATGCATATAACTGTAAATGGCAGGGAAGATGGGGAAGGAAGCTTCACTAGACTTTGAGAGCAGGGATGTTTTGGAAGATCACTCAGGCTGCATCGTGGGGAGAGATGGGAGGACATGAAAAGGAGGAACCAATCTGTTTTAGGAGACAGCTGAGGAGGAAGTTGATTGGGTCAAGATGGTTGGTGGTGGTGGTGGGGATGTACTAGCTGAATATCCATGAGATAGCACGGGTAGGACTTGATGGTCCGTTAGCCATCAAGGAAGAAGGAGGAGCTGTGGTTCTTCAATGGACTTGCAGGGTTTGGAGTATACCCATCAGGTGATCTTCCTTGAGCAACCTTCAGAAACTCAGTGGTTTTGATCTGTCCAACGTGTGTGTGCCGGTGGCGAAGGAGTAAGTTTTCTGCCGTTTTTGTGCATGAACAACACAAGTTAAAATGTTTAAACGAGCTCAGAGCAGTTCTTTATCCCAGACGGATCTCCTCTGTGGATTGGAAAGGGCAGAGAGAGCACAAATGCTTAAGTACTAGTTCATGCGGTCTGCTGTGGAAATGAGGATCATGCACTGTAATATATAAAGGTGGCGTTCCGGGCGCCCATACATCTCAGTTTGAGTGAGACATTCTCAGGTTACTTCTGTTGTCCCCATGTAATTATCAAAAGCACCCCTTTCACTCTCAGGTGCCCTGGTCTGGATAGTAGGTTATAGAGCCACACCCCTTAAAGGCCTGGTTCAGCCAATCGGATGATCCTCTTCTGCTAGCCAAGCTCAGAGGCAGGTGGGTGTGGCAGGAGGAACCCAGGAGGAGGACTCAGAAGACTGAATTCTGGCTCTAGCTCAGTCACCGCATCGGAGGGTTGGGGGTGATTCGTTTTGCTCCTGTCAGCCTCCATTTTTCTCAGTAAGGAACGAGATGTTATTTTTTTTTACATAAATATTTTAATTTCACATGTTTTGAGAGCAATAGCACAAGGTATCATCTGCCATATTTGCCACAGTCCTTTATCACAAGATAGAGGAAATTTTCTGACTAAAACGTTCTTTTTCCTCTTT